GCAGTATGTGCTGTAGACTGTGTATCAGTTGCTTTCTAATATCCGCAATTTCTCATTTAGTAATACAAACCTTAAGTAAATAATATGATACCAAGGATAGCCCACGAAAAACCGAAAGCTTATTTCCAAAGCGGCCCTTTATGCACAGATCTTGATGCGAGCCATTTCTGTGGGAAGAATCTGGAATACCCGGACAAAACCCAGGTGTCCGAGCGGGCAACTACCGGGATATAACTTCCATCTCAGTGGTGAGATGAAAGTGTGCTAGCCCGGACACCCATGGGGAGAACAGGGTATTTATAGGCATTGGCTAATAACTAATTCGTTCGGATTTTCTGAATAAATGCTGTTTAAAAATGTGCAAATCTAAGACTTGTCTCTCTGGCAAGTCTCTAATTTATTATTTTCTAGAAAATGTTCCTATCTGTTTTCTTGTTCAGCAAAACTGATCATTCCTTTTGAATTTTTTAACATGATTCAACTTCTTGAACACACTATACAACCATTCATACTGCTAAATTAAAAACCAGGCTTTTTGATAAACATCTGCTTTTCAATAAAGCAGAACTTAGTCATATCTTGTGGTTGGTCTTACACGAAAAATTATTCTGATTCTACAAGTACTCTGAAGTTGATATTAAAAAGATGCTGGAGCTCTTCATTGACAATATCTATTTCTTTATAGAGCAGGTTTTCCAACAATCTGTTTGAAATCCGATAGTCTTTAACTGTGGTCCGTTATTAAACGACCAGTTTTATATTCTTTTGAAGCAGACTTTACTAAAAAAAAACCTTCTGTATAAACTCTTACTATGGCTTTTAATTCGACACACACACACTCTCTCTCACACACACACACACACACCCTCACACACACACACACACACACACACACACACATATATATATATATATATATATATATATATATATATATATATATATATATATATATATATATATATATATATATATATATATATATATATATATATATATATATATATAGTTATGCTTAACAATTAGTATGAAAAACGTCAGTCAGTATTTGACTTAATGATAGGTTGTATTTGCTGACAATGTCATTGTATCGACCATAAAACTTGCTAAATGATGACTTCAAACGAGACCGTTGATATCCTTGTTTTATAACTTGTTTGTCAGTAGCTTGCCTCGTTTTAGAAATTGTTCATACGTAGAGCATGCTCTTGCGTATCGAATGAATTGGGAGACAAAAACCCCACATGCAGGTGGTAAGGCTATATTGCTACATACATGTAAGTAAGGGAAATTGACGATTGAAAAATTAAATTCATCATGTTTATCATACAGCTTTGTTGTTAGTTTACCATTAAAGTCTAATAAAATATCCAAATATGAAGCAGATATGTCAGACTCTTTGGTATCTTTTATTTCAAGCTTACCGGGATATATCGAGTCGGCATATGAATGGAAGTAACTATTGTAAATACGTCGTCGATATATCTAAATGTCGAGTTGAAGGCCACAGCAAGTGTTTTCTTCTTCTCATGTAGAAGTGTTTGAATTCTTCTCATGTAGAAGTTTTTGAATAAATTCTGCTTCAAATGAATACAAAATTATGTGAGGTAAAATGCCAAATTTTTAGGGAGGGTAAGAGATATAAACTTTCTGTTACATTCTAATATAGAAATTGATATGGCATAGTAACACCTCTATAGTAAGGCTAATATTGATAATATCCCTAACGTGTTAATATCAGAAATGATTCCTTTTTCTGGCAATAGAGAAGACTGATGAGGCCCTTGGGAATCTTCGGAGAGGACTGCTTGACAACTAGAAGTATTGTAGAAAAGATATGAATTCCGAGTTTTCCCGAGGACACTTTGCTTAAATAGGTCTATTTATATTGTCAGATGACAAAAAGACTGTGAATGAAGGGGGAAAAACTCTTCAAAATAACAAAAAAAGAAAAAAAAATTATATTTTTGCTCGAACGACTCTAAAAAATTGCTGGTATACATCATCAGAGTATTAAAAAAACCACATAATGATACAGCTCTGCAATCTCAAGTTGTTTATTTTACAATTTAATGGGAAACATTTTCTTAGCTGAAAATGCATCAACAAGGAAAAAAGCTTTTCCATTTTAGTGAGTTGGCAGGCCTTATTCTGTATCACATATATAGATTTACCCCTTCATTTATAAAATAAACGTGTGTCTGAATAGCAAACCCAATAGTACGTCCGAAAACAAATTTAATTTTCCTCAATAATTCCTGTCATTTGCAAATTTAAGTTTCCTTGAAAAAAAAAAATAGTTAAAACTTAAAAAATTGTTTACTTAGTGTTTCTTGTTTTCTTTTGAAATGGGCAAAATGCTTCTACAAATTAGTAATTTTCTCTCGGAACTTTACTGAGTGAAAAAAAATCATAAATATTTTCAATTTTTCATTGATTTTCATTTAGCTTTTGTGCCATGGCTAGAAATCTTGCCATTCTTTGACAACTTAAGCACTGTGAGTGGCAGATCCTTACGTGATGGTTCCTATACTGAACAAGCTATTCTAAAAGGAAATTAATGTCCCGCTGAGAGAAATGAATTAAGTCGTATAGAAATTTTCGACCTGTGATGTTATATGTTTTACTGTTGTTCATCACTTTGAGTAGTAGGGGATTAAGGGTTGCCATTTGAGCAGAGTTCCAGGGAGAAAAAGATTTTCAGCACTGATGTTAATTCGAAAGTCTACGGGATCCTGCTTTGTTTACATTTTGTATTTATTTCACATTGATCTGATCATATCATAAGAATTTACCTTTCTATACATTGTAATTAGTGTAGAGAGAAATCATCACATCTATTTCAATTAGGATAACAGTCATTAGAATTAATTTAGTACACTTAGTTAACTGAAAACACCCCCGCTTTCTAGTCTTATGTAAGCTTACGTCAAAGTGAGTTTGTGTCACTTCCTTTCATATCTTTAGGAATTGTAAATCAATAATCAGAGCTTCTATATACATTGTAGTGAGTTTAATCATTGGTTGGTTTGATATCACGTGCCAAAGACTAGAAAAGCGGATAGACCGGGTCTTTCTATATATAAACTTTGAAAAAAAATCGGATAAACCTATAAGTTTTAAAAGTAGATAGATAAATTTTAAAAGTAGATAGATATCGACCTCTCGTTTCTAACTCGGTTCTTTTCTCTGAAGTCGTTATATGTATATATATTTATATAATATATATGCGACTGAAGTAAGAAAAACAAAGAGCCAGGTTCACTTTATGCATAAAATGGCCCTGTAGATATACCATTTTATTGACTAATACCCCGTGTACCATTTTCAACATTAATGTAAAGTAGAGATTTAGTGCTTTCAGTTTATATAACAGAATTTCCTTTGAAGAGTCCAGGCATTGAAAAACAGGTGTGAAAATGCATTGAATTTTGCAGAAAACAGGTGTTTTTAAGAACCTTCAGCAGAGAATTAAAATATGAGCACACCCCTCGATCCAAGAATTAAAATGTTTTATAATTTTCATTAAAAGTTTCCTTTTATAATATATTTACACATTTTGGATCGGAGGTTGTGCTGTATACGAAATATTGAAAAATGCATTATATTTTGTCCATTTTTGAAGAAATATTCAGGATATGTGAATACAGTGCAGGAAACTAATTTTGTTACAGCATCGATGCTGATTTGAATGCTTCCTTTGCTTGCTGATTTGAATGCTTCCTTTGCTTGCTGATTTAATGCTAGTAATCTTTATCCTGATGCTGTTTTATAATAAGGTCAATGCTACCGGAAGTAGCATCATGCTACCGGAAGTAGATAATGAATTTCAGCATTGCCATTTAAAGCAATAAAAGTGCCTTTTACAATTATTTGACCATAATATCTCACTATGTATCAGTAATGTGAATACTTTAACCAATATTCTTTCTTTCTTTTTTAATTTTTTACTGAATTAAAACTCATTGATTTTCTGATGCTAGTAGGATAATGCTGATATTATGTAGGTCAATGCTGGTTTTATCCTTTGCTTGCTGATGCTGATCCTGGTAATGCTGTTTTTTAAATGCTGATGCTGATGCTAGCTCGATCCTGATGCTACCAATGCTTATGCTGATGCTGGTTTATGTAACAAAATTAGTTCCCTGCACTGTAATGACGCGATTCATGACGTCATAATGCATTGACTAGAAAGAAAATTACGTCATTTTCAGTAGATATTCATTCACCAAGTGCCCAAGCATTTATTTATTGCCTTGTTAACTAAAACTATACAGTTTTGAATTTTCAGAAATTCACATGGCCAAAAAAGGCCCTAAGTGGCTTTTGCTCTTTGTAAATTAACGCCCTTTTTCCTTTTTATGTAGTTTTTCGTTATAAAATGCCACAGTGCAATAACTTACATTGACCTTCATTTAGACGACAATGTCGAATGTGTATTGAGCTATCAAGAAATTGTTAAATGAAGGCAATGTGAGCTTTGAATCATATTACCCGAGTGATTCCGGAATAATTAAGTGTAAACCGTTACTTTTAACAATGAAATAATGGCAACTAACGGGATTTTTTTAAGCAAGGGTAACAAAAGAGTGGTTTCTTTTTTGTTTTTTTTTTCTGTGAAAAAATTACTTTGTTATCTTTGCTGCAGTTATTTGGATAATTCTGCATTGATCAATCCACTTTTTAAGTTCACCACAGCCATTTGTGTGGGAATATAGTTTAATTTCTAGAAAGATGCAAGTTTTATGGGGGGAGGGGTGTCACAAGATATGCGATTTGTTTTTATAAACATATATATGTAAACAAGATGTTCTGTTACTAGATTTCTCATTTTTACACACTTGCATTAAATTTTGTTGAACTAATGAAAGTTTTGTGCAATGTGTACCGTTGGAAATATTGAATTATGCATATCATAAAAACATTTTATTCTGAAAAAGAGGTTTAATATACAATAATGAAGATCCCCTTTTCTGTCAAAATAAAGCAGCATATCCGGTAGTACATAGTATCGTACCTATGTCCCTTTTGTCTGTTTCTTTTTGTGATCAATTAATTTCTTTCGTGGTGTTTGTTAACTTAGCAGATTACAATAAATCACAAAGATACGTGCGATTCTATGTGTGTTTTATGAGTAATAACGTTTGTGGTGGAAGCCGCCGTCACTGAGTGTCCTTCTCTCTCATGCCGATCTCTGGCCACAACAATGACCACTCCATTCTGTCTATGAGTACGACAGAAATGAGATAATTTGACACAGCATCCTTTGCATAAAATCTTCATAAATTCACTTTTGAAGTTTTCATTCAACCATCCGTACAGAACAGGATTAGTGCAGGCTGAACTTAAGACAAGCATGTGGCATATCACATATACTAAGTTGATGTTTATTGATTCCAGGAAAAGTGCTAATCGGAAATCACTGAGTATGTTGAAAATATTCAGAGGTAACCAACTTAGCGCAAATATAATCCCAATAGAAGCTAGCAAAATATTCGTTCGCCTTTTCCTACGTGAATTCCTTCTTTGTTTCTGCCTTTGAGTGTTTGACCTCGCGTTCAATGCATTTTGCTGGTTTGCCATTCTGTATTTCAGTTTATTGCAAATACGAAGATGGGCTACAGTCACAATAACAATAGGCAGTATATACTGCACCACCATTGAAGCTACGGAATATGCACCCTTTTCTTCCTGTAATGAAGTATCTTCAAAGCAAATACGAAAAGGAATGTAAATATTCATGTCCTTGAACGGTAAATCTGTCTTATGGATAGAAAAAATCAGTAAAGGACTTGCAATGAGAAAGGAAATTATCCAGATTGATAGTAAGGCCGCTACTGCACCGAGTTTCTTCATACTGTCCTTGGTGGGGTACACAATAACTTGGAACCGATCGAGAGCAATCGCTGTTATGCTGATTGTGGAGACAAAGACATTTGTTCCCTGGAACATGGGAACGAATTTGCACATGAATTCTCCAAGTGCCCATTGTGTTCGTAATAGTTTGTACAAATTGATAGGCTGTGTAAATAGACATAGTGTCAAATCTGAAATCGCCAGATTTATAATAAAGATGTTTCTGGGTGTACGCATATGAGGATTTTTGGCGACCACGTAGCATACTAGTCCATTGCCAAGAGCTCCAAAAACAATTAGCACTGAGAAGCAGCATATCAAAATATACTCAGTGGGTTTACCGAATCGGCCTTTATTCATATCTTGATATAATATAGAAAGAAGCTGTGAGTCTTCCATTGTCATGTTTGGAATCAAATATGTTTCATTGAAATCGAATGCTTCCTTATAGTCCATTTCTTCCATGTGTCTACAAACATTAAAAACATAATAAAGGTTAAAAATGTTAATGCTGAAAATAATTACATTTAAAGAAATAAGTTGAGGTGTAAAGAAATGTTTAAACATGGCTAAATAATCTGCAATTTCATTGTTTTCAATAACTACGATTGTTCCTGTCCGATTTGTGGACAAAATCATTCGTTAATGATATATGTAATGGTTTTAAAATATGCTCAACCATTAATTGCAACTCAATTAAGAATTGTTAATTACTATATTAAATATTAAGCTTATTTTTTGGCATTTTTAGTTTGCCTGTATAATTTCTCAAAAATATCTATTTGTTTTTCGTTGTAGGATAGATTCGCCAAAAAATTAAAATGGTAAGCGCTAATAATTCAAGTATAATATGCAAAATCTCGATTTATTTTTACAATCATCTGTTATAAGGTATTTTGTCAAAGGGAAAGAGGTCATTATTTGCCTGGGTTTTTTTTTTTGTTTGTTTGTTTGAGTTGTTTACTCCAAGTTTTACCATTATTACGTTCAATTATCAAAAACAGACAAAGGAAATCTTTAAAAGTGTCATTGGTCAGTTGTTTATACATCAGCAAACATTTATACATTTTAATATGGATAAATTTCAAATTTTAATATAAAGTTGGTGACTTTTATGTAGAAACATGATGATAATACTTTTCACCGAAGGGTCAGTCATGCAAATGTGTGGGAAATGTTATACTTTTAGGACAGTGAAATCATCGTAAAGTCTATATCTTATTTGTTTATGTAAACGTCATCACCGATATACCAGTAATTTGCTGAAGAAGCCATCCATTGAACTATAATTTGATCTAAGGTAATAACAGTAGCACATGAAAATTTTATTAAGCTGATCGACGTTAATCAGTATATCGCTACGGTGTCTAGAATTTCTACGTATGAAGATAATTTCAGACCAATTAATGTGAAGACATTATATTGTCACTTACTAATGTGACATTTCAGTTGATAGAGGGAATACTAAAGCATGCTGTCTCCTAGAACCACACAAAAAATATGTAAAAAAAAAAATCTTTGTGTTTGAAAGTACAAAGACAATTACGTTTTCATTATCTGATTTGATAATCAGCTAAAACAACTACAAGTATAACATTTAAAATGTTTTTCTAAATGCAGCATATTTTTCTCCGATTAAAATAAACATTGTCTTGTCTTGTTACTTTAATACTTGACACCTATTAAACTATCGGTATTTTCAGTGATCTAACCTCGCTCCGTAATCAGAAGGTCTTGGGTTCAAACCTCGGCCGCGACTGACTTAAGTCGATGCAGAATAGGTAGCAATGAAAAAGGTGAAGAAAACGAACAGTGATCAATCTCAAAAATATCTAAACAATACAATTCTGTGAAGAGGGCTTAAAACACGGATTCCTGAAAATTCCAGAGGTGGTTTCAGGTGTCCATGAGGAGTAGATATCACCCGCCGTGAGCCCTTTGTATTGATCAGGTAGACGGAACATTTCGTAGTCAAATTCAGTATAAAAACAAAAGCCTTAAAATTGGTATGAAAAAAGTCAGCCAAAATACGGCAATGATAGATTATATTTGCTAGCAAAGTTAATTTAAACGACTAAAGAATTTACGACATGCTGACTTTAAACGAGGTTGCTGACATCTCTGCAACATCAACTTATCTGTCAGAAGCCTACCTCGATTTAAAAATTGATCGTGATCGTACTCGGAGCATGCTCTTAAGAATCGAGTAAGTTAAAAGATGTAAACACCATATGCAGGATATAGCGGGGTATTACTACATAAATAAGGAAATTTGACGATGGAAATGTTGAAGTCATCTCGGTTGTCATACAATTTAGTTTTTAGTTAGCCTTTTTCATCTATAGTCAGTAAAACATCCAAATATAAAGCAAATCGATGACTCTGTGGTGTCTTTTATTTCAAGCTCACTAGGATATATAAAATTGACATATGAATGAAAATAACTACAGTGCAGGAAACTAATTTTGTTACAGCATCGATGCTGATTTGAATGCTTCCTTTGCTTGCTGATTTGAATGCTTCCTTTGCTTGCTGATTTAATGCTAGTAATCCTTATCCTGATGCTGTTTTATAATTAGGTCAATGCTACCAAAAAGTAGCATCATGCTACCGGAAGTAGATAATGAATTTCAGCATTGCCGTTTAAAGCAATAAAAGTGCCTTTTACAATTATTTGATCATAATATCTCACTATGTATCAATAATGTGAATACTTTAACCAATATTCTTTCTTTCTTTTTTAATTTTTTACTGAATTAAAACTCATTGATTTTCTGATGCTAGTGGGATAATGCTGATTTTATGTAGGTCAATGCTGGTTTTATCCTTTGCTTGCTGATGCTGATCCTGGTAATGCTGTTTTTTAAATGCTGATGCTGATGCTAGCTCGATCCTGATGCTACTAATGCTTATGCTGATGCTGGTTTATGTAACAAAATTAGTTCCCTGCACTGTAATTGTTAATTGATAATACGTCGTCGATACATGTGTATATCTAAGTGTTGAGTTGAAGGCCACAGCAAGTGTTTTCTTCTTCTCCTGTAGACGTTTTTGAATAAATTCTACTTCAAAGGAATATAAAAACAGGCCGGCTAATAAAGAAGCACAATTTGTGCCCTTTGCAATTCCAACAGTTTGTTGGAAGACCTGGTCTCCGAAGACTACATAAATGTTGCCAATGAGGAACTCCACATCCTTTTAATTGCAACGTCAGAGTACTAGTGTGTAGAATCAGAGTGATTTTTAACAAAGTAATTTTGTTGATGACCAATCACAAGAAGGAAAATTTTCGACTTCCATTTTATTGAAGAAGTAGGTCTCTATGATATAAAAAGTCTAGTTTTTAATTTATCGTGAGGAATGGTTGTATAAAGGGTAGAAAGTCTTACGTTTTGGTATTACTGACTTTTGAAGAATTTGGAAAGCTTAAATTTTTCTAAAAGTTCTTTGGAGTTTTTGAGAATTTAAGATACATCTGATTTACACAACTTCTAGAAGTTCTGTACTGTGCTGTAGCACAGTGCATCTGAAGTTTCTCCTTAACAGCAATTAATATTTTTGTAAGGAGTAAGGCTTAATAGAGCAACTGTTCATTCGCCAAGCACTCGACAGTTTGATGGGAAATTTGCTTGTCTTTCGGATAAAACCTTACAAACCGAGGCCCCGTGTCATATGGCAGGTGTTGGCGCGATAAAGGCCACTCACGCAGTCACTGCTCAATGGTACTGAGTGCTTAGTAAAAGTCTAAATTTGAAGCCCTTCACCGCTATATGATGGCGTTTCTGTATGAATGGAAAGTTATAGAATGGGACGTAAAACAACATACAATCATTCAATCAATGATCGAACAATTACCTTTTCTATAATAAACCATATATTATACTATCTTGGGGATTTGGTAAAGAAAGAAAATACATTTTTTATACCCATCCGAACACTGTGAAAAATAAATGACACTACAAAGTCTGTCACATCTGTTTCATATTTAGATGTATAACTGCCTATGGACGATAATGGCCAACTAACAAGTAAACTGTATGACAAACAAGATGACTCTTTATTCAACTTTTCTTATTTATGTAGTTATATTCCACGATCACCTCATTTATGTTCTCAAGCTTATTCTATGCACAAGAGCATGGTCTGAGTGCAACCAATTTTTAAACCGAGGTAAGCTACTGTCATTTCATGTAACAGGGCTTTCAACAACTTTGTATTAAATCAGCATTTCAAAAATTATATGGTCGTTATATCGACCTTATTTGCAATACAACCTATCATTTGTTTGAGAAGTTTTACGCTAATTGTTAGGCGATTGTTTTTATATAAATTTGACTACAGATTACTTCGTCATCCTGATCAATACATAGGGCTCATGGTGGTGTGACCGGTTGACAGATCCTTACTCCTCCTAGGCACCTGATAGAACCTCTTCAGTTACCAGGGGTTCTATCAGGTGCCTTGATCACAATTAAGTTTGTATTCTTTTTAAGAATATTTATATTAATAATTGTTTGTTATCTTCTCCATTTTCATTCAATTGTAAGATTGTTTCAATTTCTTGATTATCTATGAAACTTTAAATTTTGTTAACTTTAAATTGTCAACATTTGTGTTGACTTAAATGGTTGTACTAAGCACCTATTCATTTCTTATCTTATATTTTGAAAAGCAATTTCAATCTGACATGAAAACATAACTCTAGGTGCTAGCATATATTTAAAAAAAATAGTTTTTTGTCATATCCCAAAGAATAAATATTTTTGTACAGTGAAATTTATATGGACCATGATTGAAAGAAATACATGTAGTTTATCGATAAATAAATCATTATTATTGAGTTTTGAATTGAAATGCTGTCAAAGCAAACTAAAAATTTAATAATAGATTAATGCAACTAACTTTTCATTGCATGTTTTAAAAAATAGTTTTGCATGTTTTATGAAAAACAACCTTATAATGAATAAGATAATGACGATAGACGGGAACTATCGATGATTCAAATATTAGGATACTTTATTCTTTTACAAATGATTTGAAAATCAGCAATAAGTAAACAAATTATCCTGTAAATACAAACTAATATTGCATGTTAATAAGAAAGATTAGTTTATTTAATCTTACACCATTTATTAAAAAAAAATAGAAATAAACTTACCAAATAGCTCAACAAGAAAAATCAATGTAAATTTAAAAAAAAGGAAGTCCAGGTTTATCAACCATTTGACCACTGATTCCGAACATCCATTTTCCTGAAATGAAGTGAGCGGTGTCTTCGTAAAGAAAAACCTTCCGAGTCTCTAATAATGCTGCCTTGCTCAGACTATTAATTGCTTAGGAAAGAAGTGGCTTCAAACTGTCACTTATAAACGGAAAAAAATCAATTCCTCTCTCAATTTACCGCTCTCTTCTATATCTCTTATCTACGTCCTGAAATCAGTATATAGCAGGAATT